TCGGCCCATTCAACTCCCAATCATCAGCAGAAGTCTTCGACACAGGCAGAGATAAGGAAGGAAGGAAATCAGAATCGGATAACTGAAAAGTGGCTGCAGCTAGAGCCTGAACAAACGGTTAAAAAGTACCTGGATCAGGAAGAAGGGGAAGCTGACCACATGGATGTCGACACCGTCAAGATCGCTGAGGAAAAAAGGCGGCAAGAGACAGTCGAGATAGCAGGACACGCTTTAAAAACGCTGATTTTCCTGCAGGAGGTGGCTTTAAAGCAAAAGGACAAGGAACATGAATCAGTCCCCGAGCCTTTAGAAATACCTAAGCAGCAGAAGCATCAGGAAGATGCCACCGATGATCACAAAGCAATAAGGAAGCAGTTGGAAGTTCCCAAGTCTGACTTAAAATCGAAGGACCTGCCTAAGGAAGAACAGAAGCAGGATGGGCAGCTGGATGTTCGCGTGGAACAACAAGAGGATGTACGCAAGGTGCAGAAAGAAACTCTGAAAAAGCAACCGCAGGATGCACATAAGCAACTTCCGAAAGCGGTAGCCCCAAAGGTAGCTTCTGTTTCGAATACGTCCTATAGAGAAACCACGTTGCCCAAGGCCAACACCGCTGACATTAAAGACGCTCCCGCTCAGAAAATTATATCCAACCATCAGTCCACAAAGACGCAAACGGAACCTATAAAAACGCAGCGTTTGCAGGTTAAGATCAGGCAGTATGAAATGCATTCTGACGTGAGAACCGGCTCCTCCGTCCTGTCTGATATTCGAAAACACAAGAACGTTGATCAAGTTCCGGCGCCCGAGCCGAAAATCAGTAAAAGTATGTTGGTCAATGATAAAAAGACCACGTCGGAAGCGACTCGGAACCAAGATCAAGAAATGGATGATGTGGAAACAGTTAAAAGAAAACTGGCGGAACATTTAAAAAAGGAGCTTCTAAGCCAGAGTCATCAGTCACAGGTTACGCTCAAGAAAATTAGAGAGAGAGTCGCTACAAATCTTATATATCCACCACCCAGTGCACCAGTATCCTCAACCACAATAACACCAGCGCCCACGCCGTCAACGACACCAACGCCTGGCTCAACGCCACAGCATGCGGTTACATCCTCAATAGATCAGGAAATATCTGCGGCAAAATCGAAGTCCAAGGCAGCTGAACAAATAGCAACTCCTCTGACACCCCAATCTAATAGCAGCGTTAGCAGCACCACTTCTACTACCCGAAAAACTCTAAACAACTGTTCACCCCACACGTACAGCAAGGCAACGGCGAGATCGGGTAGGCTCCAGTCCAGATTCCGCACTGCCACGTTTTCGTACAGCACGAGAACGTGGGAGGATCAGGAGTTCCACTGTGACAACGAGTTCTTCCTGGAGGAGGCCGACGAGCTGCTGGCGGATAACCCTAGTCTGGAGATACCCAAGTGGAGGGATGTCCCAGTGCCCCCCAGTTCGGATAAAACTAACACAGAACCACTAAGCGATGCGACATTCGAGCGCCGGCACCAGAAATATGTGAAGGATGAGGTCGATCGAAAGTGCCGGGATGCACGTTATATGAAAGAGCAGATACGGCTTGAACAGCTAAGGATGCGGCGGAACCAAGACGAGGTGTTGGTTGCGCTGGATCCGCTGCGGGCGTCCACTTTCTACCCGCTGCCCGAGGACATAGAGGCCATTCAATTCGTTAACGAGGTGACGGTTCAGGCGTTCGGTGAAAACGTGGTCAACATGGAAGCGCGGGATGATTTCGGTGTTCCCTGGGTGGATGCAGTCGAAGCGCCAACCTCCATAGCCAGGTCCAAGGCACTGGCTGAGCCGGTGGCAACGTTGGCTAGCAAAAAGCTACCCACCACTGCTGCCGAGGCGAGGCATCAAGAAAACCACTCCTCCTACGTGTTTCCCAAGCGACGCAAGCGCCAAAAGAATCGTTAGCCAGGAAACACCTGGGGGATCTGCTACTGGAGCTAAGTTGAAGACTGGCGGTTGTGGGGAAGTCGTTGCGTCTACCATACTAATGATTTTCAGTTTTTAATTTTTAATTATTTCTTAAGCGAAAAGTAAAAGCACCAGAGTTAACAGTAGCGATTACCAGAGATTGTCAAGAAGTCAAATAATCCAGAGCAGACGATGTTTTATGTATATATGGTTCCTCAACTGTCCGTTTTTATTTGTGTAATAAAATGAACGGAAAGATGAATTTTGGGACATTAGAAATTCTTTGTTATAGAATCTATAAATTTTTGTCAAAGTTTTGTCATTTCTAATGCAATGAGAGATCATAAAAGGCAAGTAAATTGAGCTGTCCTATTTAAACATTTTTCTATTCAATTGTTATCATATTTATTTCTTTGAAATATAAAAAATTCGATCTGATATTAGATGTAAATGAATCCAAATGTTCGTCGCCTGGTCTGGAAATTATTAGTTTTAGTTAACGTCTTGAATGAAAAAAACTTTCACTCCTGCTTGTTTCCAATCTACGTAAATTACTTAGTTCGACACATTATGTAATCTAAACCAGTCGCTACGTTAGATTGGATAATTCATCTCAGCTTTATCACCTTTAAAAACGCCCGCTCTGAAGTGATAAAGAAACAAAAGGTTATATATATATAACCTATATTGGGCATTTTTTTGGTGAAAAACAATGAAATTCGTAGACTTATATTTTTAAATATTTTTTTTCCTAGCCCGTGTAACATTTTTTTTGTCTATATTTATACTGTTATTTCTGAAGATTCTCTTAAGCAGATAACTTGTGCGTTGCAAAGAGTTACTCAGGTATATCTCTGATAATTTTGTCTTTGTTTTTAAGATTTAATTGTGAAAAAATTGTGTGCGAGTTGTCTGCTTAGAGCAATCCAATTATACATTGGACCAATTGTTTTATTTTAATAACTTTCTTACTTGTTTTCTGTTTTACCAAAAAACAATAGCCGCTAAAAAGCAAACAAGACTTAAAGAATAAATATAAACCTGATTCCCAAGCTGCACACCGGTTTAGCCTTATCGGCACCATACATTATCGGATAAAAATTGTTTCGTTTCTGTTTCTGTCGCAATGATAAGGAGCCTGCCTGTCCGGTGAAAATCAAATCCCCAGCTCGCTGTAAGTGGCGTCTTATTTTTGTACATTTCGGTAGGTGTTAAGTCGGTTATTTGTAATATAGCGTTTAGTATGCACTGTACGCAAACGCATAGAGATAATTATAATGTATATTGTCTAGGAGGAGGAGGAGCGGAAGGTGGAACTTCGTTCAACACCCATTTTACACCATTCAATGTAATTAGCGTTAATTAGTTCAATTTACTAAAGCTTCAACTGAAAATCAATTCGAAATTAATTGCCACCATTGTAGAGCCCTAAACAAACTCACCTACTGTAAGAATAAATGTACTACATACAATGTATTTGTATTTGTTTAACAAGTTTTATTGTAAAGATAATGATAATAATATACAGGATAAAGTAAATTGTAAAGCAACGAAATGCAATCAATACTTGGACTTGCAACTTATTGTGCACAGGTGATATGTTAATGGAATTCTAATAATTGACAATGGGTTTATTTAACAGGCTTCAATCTATATTCCAAGGACCTGGTTCTGGTTTCAGATGGTTTTTTGTTTTCGATCCTCTCAATATCAAATTGATTGGGGGCTGTGTAATTGTACACGTATTTAACATCTTACACAACATCTTAATTATATTCTATATTGGCTGTGACAACACTCTCATTACTTAATGTAAAACATAACAAACAAAATCTTCAGAAACCACAGCTTGATTGAAAATCTGTTAAAATACCTTTAAAAACAGGAAAAGCCCATCGGGCTCTTCTATTATTTATTGCTTTGCGTCAAGTACTGATGTCCAGTGGTCGCCCACAGCTCATCCACATCGCCGAAGCTCTCGCGCCACAGCTTCTGGAGGAGTTTCCATCCTTTTTCCTGGGTCACCAGCAGGTACTCATTTGTGGGATGCAGGGTGTGGGTGTAGAGACCCATTACCAGGCTCTGAACCAATCGGGCAGCCACACAATACTTGAGCAGAGCCAACTCTGAGTTCTCAATGGGGTTCAGACTGGTGTAGCCGGACAGAAATATGCCTCCATTGGCCAAATCGTTGGCCTGCAGGATCATATAAGTGAGGGCAATTCCAATTTCGAAGATCAGTGGCGATTTGCTCGTATCACCGAAATCAATAACTCCCTTAATGGTGTATTCGGTTTGATTGGGGGCCTGCTCCACTACAATATTCTGTTCATTGAAGTCCCCATGGATGATCTGGTGCTCCATGGCGGGTAATTGGCTTAGAACCTTGGCTTCGAAAGCATCGATCACCTCGTCGCAGACAAGTCGCAGTTCCTGATCCTTCACTACATACAGGAATTGCCTTAGCTCCGGAACACTCTGCAGCATCCACAAGGTCTTGTGGGTTTCATATGCCTGGTGGGTGAAATTCTTGAGCGCTCGATCCAACCTGGCCAAGTATTCCCCGCTGCGGTAGAGCAGGTGCTTTGTCGCCGGCACCTGGTGGAAGATTTCTCCCGGTATAAATTCTAGGAGCCGCACCACATTCGAATTCCCATTCAGCCGCTCCACAGAGTAAAATTTTCCAGTGGCATTGGCTACCGGGCGGGGGCACTTTACACTGTGTTTTGCTAGGTAATAAGATTGCATTTTCAATTTGTTAATGGATTGGTAACCAATTCTTACCTAAGTAAAGGAGCAACTGATTTTGGGCATCCACGAAGTCCTCTTTCTTGGAGTCCAGTGAGTTAAGGATTTTTAAAACGTATCCGTCCGGACAGTGGGTCACAATAAGGGGGTTCTTTACATTACTGCAATGCGGAAATGTATTCAATAGGAGTATGACAAAAATGACATCTTGAGAATTAAATTAAAAATTAGGAATAAAAAACCGACACAATTATGAGAAAGTGTTGGCAAACAAAAAAGTTCCATGTGAATGGCCATTCGACTTTTTTTTATAGCAGCTCTCTTTGGTCACACTAATGCATTGGCAATTTTGGCGCTAAAACCTGCGATTTTATTAATTGTTTTTGTTCTTATATGTGTTTATATTGTTGGGCCTAATCATGGGCATTACCGGCCTAATACCCTTCGTGGGCAAGGCCTCCTCGCAGCTGCATCTAAAGGATATTCGCGGTAGCACAGTGGCCGTGGACACATATTGCTGGCTGCACAAGGGAGTTTTCGGCTGTGCAGAGAAGTTGGCCCGCGGAGAAGATACGGATATATATATCCAGTACTGCCTGAAGTATGTAAACATGCTCCTCTCCTACGATATCAAGCCCATCCTGGTCTTCGACGGGCAGCACTTGCCTGCCAAGGCATTGACCGAAAAGCGGAGAAGAGTTTCCAGGAAGCAGAGCAAGGAACGGGCGGCGGAACTCCTGCGATTGGGTCGCATCGAGGAGGCCCGATCCCATATGCGACGTTGCGTGGACGTCACCCACGACATGGCGTTGCGCTTAATTCGGGAATGCCGAAGCCGGAATGTTGACTGCATTGTGGCGCCCTACGAGGCTGATGCCCAAATGGCCTGGCTAAATAAAGTAGATGTGGCCCAGTACATTATCACCGAGGACTCGGACTTGACGCTGTTTGGGGCCAAGAACATCATATTCAAGCTGGACCTAAATGGCAGCGGCCTGCTGGTGGAGGCGGAAAAACTTCACCTGGCTATGGGCTGCAAGGAGGAGAAGTATCATTTCGACAAGTTCCGGCGCATGTGCATCCTATCCGGCTGTGATTACCTGGACTCACTGCCTGGCATTGGACTGGCCAAGGCATGCAAATTTATACTCAAAACGGAACAGGAAGATATGCGAATAGCATTAAAAAAGATTCCTAGTTACCTCAATATGCGCAATCTTGAAGTAAGTTAGTAAGTTATAATTAGGTCTAATGTGCAAGAATTATCATCCTTTACCCTTTTTCCAGGTAGATGACGACTATATTGAGAACTTCATGAAAGCGGAGGCCACCTTCAAGCACATGTTCATCTACAACCCCCTAGAGCGCCGCATGCAGCGGTTGTGTGCCCTGGAAGATTATGAAACTGATGAACGCTACTGCAGCAATGCTGGCACCTTGTTGGAGGATAGCGAGCAGGCCTTGCACTTGGCCCTGGGCAACTTGAACCCCTTCTCAATGAAGCGTCTGGACTCTTGGACACCGGAAAAGGCATGGCCAACGCCGAAGAACGTTAAACGCTCCAAGCACAAAAGCATTTGGCAAACGAATTTCCAAAGCGAAAACACTACCACGCCGAAGAAAGAAAATTCGTGTGCCTTGTTCTTCAAAAAAGTGGATTTTGTAAGCAAAACTGTAAACGAGGAAATTGAGGCTAATCAGCGATTGGAACAGGCAAAACAAACGGAAGCCCAGTTGTTTACCATGTATAGTTTTAAAGCCAAAAGAAGGAGAAGTCCGAGCCGGAGTGACTCCGTAGATCAAGAACGTACGCCTCCTCCGTCGCCGGTGCACAAAAGTCGCCACAATCCATTTGCCAAGGAAAGGACTATAGAAGACTGTAATCAGCGATCTCCGGTGGTTTGCGAGAATGCCTCTTTGCTGCGTTTGCTCAGTCCCAAGAAGGCAAGTCCGCTGGGTGGAGAAGCTGATGTAAAGAAGGTTGATTCTCTTAAAAGAAGCATATTCGCCAAGGAACAAGTTCAGGTTCGAAGTCGCTTCTTCGCCTCTCAGGATGAACAGACAAGGCATCAAAAGGAGCATTTAAATGATACGGAAAAGGACAATTTAGACGAGCAGAAGCTGGGCTCTTGCTCAGGTCATAAGAAACTTAGACTAGAGAGGAAAGACTTTCCATTAGACAACCAAATAAGACAACGTTGTAACTCACAAAAGAGTGACGGTGAAACAGATACAGATACCACAGCATCTTCACTTTTGGAATCACAGGAACAGTGTGTCCCTTCGCCTTTAGGATCTCAAGAAGAGCAAAACCAGTCTCAACCGCAAACACCAACTAAGAGCAATACAAAATCCACAACTATTCGCCTTAAGTCCCTAGATTTACTTTTGGAAAACTCTCAGGATCCCACCGAATTCGACAGGAACAATAATGATGCAGTCATTCTGCTATCCGACGACAGCTGTAGTTCAGAGCAAAGAGCATCATCTACCTCTACCTCATCCACCCTGCAACGCCAGAACTCACTGCCGACCAGCAAACGAAGAGTAGGACTGAGTAAACCCTCCACTGCCAAGAAAGGCACTCCTAAATCCAAGACAAATGGAAAACTGGGTGCTGTGAGCCAGAATCAAACCAAGCTCAGCATGTTTGGCTTCCAGAAGAAACCAATGCTGAAATAGACGGCTCCTCTAGACTGTAACCTTTTTGTTCTGTAGATTAATCTAATTTATTAAAGTGAATACCTGAACTGACTACATCAGTGCTGAATGCCATGAATCCATCAAGATAACAATTGCGATGCTGGCAAGGCGACTGTCGACTGCGTCACACTTAACTGCCACGACTAACAACTTTAATTAAACGAGGTATTAATAGATGCCACCGCCGCATTTCGCCAGCGTATTATCATTTGTTATCGTGTTGCACAGTCGTGCAATTGCTTGTGCTTATTTTCTGACTGCATCTGTATGAAATGCTTACGCTGTCCTCTCTGACACGAGATAAACCTCCGGATGTGGTGCTGGATTGAATGAGTGTCAGGGAGATGCTGCCATCGGTTTGCTTACCTATCCTCCTTGAGAAAGAAGTTGCGATCGTCGTAGGCGATAATTTCCTTAACTTCGCTAATCGTGATCCCGTAGAGACGTCGCAGCAGGCTCTCCACATCTTCGGGCTCCACTTTTGGGCGCACGTCCGATCCGGGCTTGAGGAGATCGTTATCCACAGCCACTGAATCATCGGCAGTGGTGCCGTTGCTATTAGAGGATTTCGCCGTATTTTCCTTGTTCAATTTCTCGGCTGCATCGTAGGCGTGATTCAGGGTATACGACTTTTTGGACATGTTCGTAAGCTCCACATTGTTCCACTGCTCCATTTTATTTTTGGTGCTCTATCGGAGACGCAAAAGACCAAAGGCCAAAAACCCGTGAGTAAACAAATATCAATTAGAAGACGAATATGAGCAGAGGTGGAAAATGTTTTCGGTTGCGCGTTCTCCAGCGAAATGAATTGTGTTTCAGTTTGCGTCTCAATTGAAACGAGTTCGTCGACGTCTTCTTCATATCTTATTCGCCCGTTTGTGTGCGTTCAAGTACAGTCAAGCATCGTCCATTTAAAGCACAGTCTTAAGTTAAGAAAATTTAGATTAGCATATTTTCTCGCTTTTCATTTTAAAATGCCTTAAAGTGGTACTGTAAATTGAAGTTATTTTTTTTTTTCATTTTTGATGGCCATCTCTTTACCGTGGCAAAGGTTGACTTAATTTAGCATTACAAAAAAACCAATTGCGTTAAAGGCCAGTCACTTTAAGCGTTATTTTAATCCTAAAGCATGCTACTTCCATTGGAAATACAACTTCTTTGGTTAATTATGCTGAAAATCTAGTGTTTGAGTGAAATCTTTCTGTAGAGTGGGTATTCTTTTGTGAGGGTCGTCTAAATCTGCCTCGAATTATACCTCGTTGGGATGTGATTAGCGAGTTTTGACTGTATCTGCGTAAGATTCAGTCCCGTGAGTTTTGTTCCACGTAGGTGAGTGTGAGCCGCTGTCGCCACTTGCAGTGTTAACTTGGCTATTTGCTTAATTTCTCAAAGCCGGCTCTGTTTGCATTTTGATTGTGAACTCAGTGGTGCAGCGGTCGGGCCTTATTTTTTAACATTTTTCGGGTCTTATCAGGGGGCAGTGGTTGCCCAACCGTGGAAAAGCAAACAGTCGTGATCGGCTTTGGTTAACGCTCCGGTTGAAACCACATCAATTATATGGCACACAAACCGAACAGTTCGCAGGGATTAGAAACACTAATATGAGAAGAAAGAATGAAGAGCAAATACCTTTTGAGGTCAGTAATTCAAACGTCAGTGGAAAGGTTTTCAAAACCGAACAGAAGATAAGCAGGGCGGGTAGAAAATTAATATCGAAGTTTGCCAATCAAGTGGCAATTGCTGACCTTGACTTAATTACAGTTTATTGCTCATACGCAGTGATGTACGTAACTACGATTTTCTGGGCTCACACACACACACACACACACACACACACACGGACAAGCTCCCCTCTCGCACACACACACGCTCAGCGGGGGGTAATTAAATCCCAAATATATTGTGCATGTGAGAGACGCAAATATGCACAGCTGACTGCTAATCAAGCACACAAACAGCCGCCGAATACACAAACAATAGACTAAAACAAGCTTATTTACCTGGGCACGGAAAATTCACCTGTGGCTCCGGATTGGAAAAGTGGTCAACTAAACTTAGTAACTCCGAGCGCTGCGGCTGAAAACTGGCCAGGCGGAAAGTCAGTTAGATTCAGTCCCATTCGCATGGCATTACCTCACCTGTGAGATAGCTTATGTAAACGGACAAACGTAGCAACTAACTTCGATTAAAACAATAAACAACACTCGAGAAATAACAAGTAGAAGGCATAAACGAACACATTCAAAAATTCAAAGCAATGTGCAGGCACGCAGACATGCGAATGGCCAGAGGTGCTGCTTCTTTCCACTGCCTAGTCAGCTGTTGATTTGTCCGCTTTGCAACGGCGTTTGCCTACACTGGATGGCGGGAGATTTGAAAGTTGTCAATATATGATAAAAACCCGGTACTAACCCCTTTAAATATTTTTCCTACAAATGATACCCACAAGAAATACTTCAGAATAGAAAACTTAAAACAAAAATAAACAAAAAACTCCAAAAATGCCGCATAAAAAGATGAAGTATTTGAACGACTTGGTACATGACGCAGAAGAATTAGACCCCTTGGAAATTCGCTTTCCCTTGCCGATGCAAAGTGATCCGTCAATGTGCCGAGATACGTTTCTTAAAGGTCTGATTAGGGAGCACGAGTCCCGAGTGGCATCATTAGCGGCCAGATCGACAGTGCGTGGCGCTTCGATAGTCAACAAGCCTGTGGAGCTCCACGACTCAGATGTGAAGGAAGCCGAGGCTATGGTGGTGCTGCAGTTGGCCAAAAGGCGCCAAAGATCGTCCACAAAGAGGACAATGGAACAAGTATTAGCTAGCATCAGAGTGAGGTCGAGCATAATAGCGGATCTTATTCGCCAAATCCAAAAGGCGGCCATCGAATTCCTCTCGGTTCGTCTGCTCAAGCAATTGCGACTCTTCTCGATACCCTGGCCAGGCGAACTGGACGAGACCCCAAACAACCTGTTTAGCTGGTCGTCGGATGACTTCTTTTTGCGACTGGGCGTGAATCAGATCTACCTCGATGTCCTCTATCGAGAGCGAAGTGTCAACGATCTCGATTGTGCTAAGTTCTGCAAGGATCTCAGCGAAATAGAACTCCTTATATACGCAATCAGGGAAGATTTTCGAAACGACGTAGACCTCTACGAAAACAGCATTCATTTGTTAAAGTAAGGGTGTTCTGATACTTTTGTAGTTAACTGCGATATTGACATTTGTGTTCCATTGCAGCAAGGCCGCATACCACAAGAATGCTTCATGGGTAAAGAGCCTCAATGATAATCTACGAGATATAGCGTCCAACGCTTTGCTCTTTGAGCAAACTAGCACCTTAAACACGTTAGCGCGTAACTCTTCTGTAATGGTAATGTTCGAAAGTCAGTCAGGTGAGTGGTTACTATAAGTCATATCTGAAAGACTAATCTCCTTCCGCAGCCCTAGATCCAATTGAAATCCGATTTCAAATCAATTGGATTAGAAGCTGCACGGATCAGCGTCTCTGCCGGCTAAACGGAAGAGAGGATGAGATAAGAAAAGAACTGCACGACCTGGAAGAACAAGCATTGCAGGAGGAATCGGTGCAGCATTCCTCCCAGCTCATGTATTCGCTGGAGGTGGAAGAGCTTAGGAATAGCATTAGAAATTGGCAGGAGCGACTTGATACCGATTTGGAGAACGCCGACGTCATGTGCACGGTATCGCGACTTGCACTGCAAAAGGTTAAGGACGATCTCAAGTTTTACATGGAGCAGAAGGCAATGTATCTTTCGCGAATAGACGAAGTGCAAGCTATCATAGATCAGGAAAAGATGACTCGCGAAGAAAGGGTAAGTCCTTGTAGAGAGAACGAATTTTGGAGTCAAAATCATTATATGAAATATCCCTAGGAATTAGCTGCCTTAAAACGAATGTCGAGGGGGTCTTTAAGAAAGTCTGTAGGAAATTCTGAAAAGAACTTTCGAAATAAGCCTGAAAGGAAATCAGAAAGGAAGTCAGAAAGGAAGTCAGAAAGGAAGTCAGAAAGGAAGTCGGAAAGGAAATCAGAAAGGAAGTCTGATATTAAAGCTGAAAGAAAATCTGAAACGATGCTGGCGAGAAAATCTCAAAGAATATCCAGAAATTCTAAAGTTTAATACCAGATACTACATTTCGGCCCATTCTACTTATATATGTTTCCAATTTACCAAAGGTTTCAATAAAATACTTCTTAAGCTTCAGCTCACCCTAGTTATTAATGCAGAATTTGAAAACAGCTACATTTTCAATAGATTTAAATAAACATATTTATCACATTCTAGGGCCGTATTACTTCTTAAAAAATTGTGACACTTTCAATAAAAACATTCACAGAAACAGAAATGTGACACTTTCAATCACAACACTCAAACAGAATAACACAAAAAAAAAAAAAAACAAAATAAAGCAAAAAACAAAAAAAAATGGTTTCCAAAAAGAGAAAAAATTCTGAAGATGATAAGAAGAAGGAAGCCTGTTTTGAGTCCGATCCATATGAGCTTAAATTTCCATTGCCGGAGCAGCTCGATCCGTCCCAATGCCGCGATGAATTCATCAGCACAATCATCAGGGAGCACGAGATCCGGGCGAGTTCTCTGAGGCCCAAATCAATGGTTCAGGATACTTCGGACTTCGAGAGTCTCCAGGAGGACACGGATCAGGGGCCCGAAAAGGGGGCAGAGGCTATGGTGGTGCGACAGTTGGTGAGTCAACGCAGGAGGGGAAGTTTTCGGAAGACGAAGGAAGAGATCTTGGAGAACATTAGGTTGCGGTCGACCATGATGACTGACCTGAATCTGAAATGCCAGAAGGCGGCCATCGAGTTCCTGTCGGTTCGCCTGCTAAAGCAGTTGCGCCTCTTTTCGAGTCCCTGGCCTGGTGACACGGGGGATATCCCTTACAACCTCTTCAGCTGGTCGATGGACGACTTCCTGATGCGCGTGACCATGAAACAGGTCTACCTTGACGTCATCAATCGGGAGCGAAGTGCGGAGGATCTGGACTGCCTCAAGTTCTGCAAGGACTTGGGTCAGATCGAACTTCTTATATACGAGATCAGAGAGGACTATCGCCTTGATAGGGATCTATGCCAAAACAGCATAGAATTGTTAAAGTAAGGAGTATGCCTTTTTTTTATAAAATGATACGACCCCGATCGTAATTGCGAGCCTTTTTCCAATTTTTAAAATTATGAATAATGTTAATTTAATTCACAATCTTGCATCATTTAATTGCAGAAGTGCCCAGTACAACACTAACGCACCTTGGGTCAATACCCTCAATGATAATCTTAACAACATGAAATCCAGTTCTTTAACCGCTAGGCTTTTTCACCAAAGTAGCACCTTTAACCTGGTATTACGTCACTCATCGGCAATGGGAACCTTTGAAAGCGAGTCAGGTGAGTCGAGTTGCTATAAGTCAAGTCTGGAAGATTCATCCCCTTCCGCAGCTCAGGATCCGATTGAAATGCGGTATCAAATCAATTGGATTAGAAGCTGCACGGATCAGCGTCTCTTCCGGATAAACGGAAGGGAGGAGAAGATGAGAAAGGAACTACATGACCTAGAGTTACAAGCACTGCAGGATGAAACGGTGCGTAATTCCTCCGAGCTCATATATTCGCTGGAGGTGGGAAAGCTTAGGGAAAGCGTTAGAAAGTGGCAGGAGCGACTTGATACCGATTTGGAGAACGCCGACGTCATGTGCACGGTATCAAGGCTCGCACTGCAAAAGGTAAAGGACGATATCAAGTTCTACATGGAGCAGAAGGACATGTATCTAAAGCGAATTGCCGAAGTGCAAGGCATAATAGATGAGGAAGCAAAGCAGCGTAATCCGGGGGTAAGTCCATATATAAAGCGATTCGGTGCTGGGGCTACTACAATGTCACTTGCTTAGATATTTGGTTCTACCGAAAGCCGATTGTCCAGGAGGTCGGTAAGAATATCCAGAAGTTCTGAGAGGAAGTCGCAGAGGAAGTCGCAGAGGAAGTCGCAGAGGAAGTCTGATAAAATGACAGGACGAAAGTCTGAAAGGCTTTCTGAGAGACGATCTGAAAGAAAGTCCAGAAATTCCAAAGTGCAATAGATATTCTCCGATTTGGTCTCCTTCAATTTACATGAATGTTTGCAATTTACCAAGAATACATTAAACATTTCTTAAACGTTAGAATGACTTCTTCATCAATGCAGCTTATACTTATTAAATTTATTAAAATACCCGTATAAACACATCGAAATCGCTCAGCAGTTGTTTATCTTCTTGAAAATCTGACATTTACAAAAAAATATTTAAGTGGGGAATAAGTAAATAAAATCACAAAAAATTATAATGGATGTGTTATGGAAGGAACAGGAATCCGCAAATGGGTCCGATCCGTTTGCGATTCACTTCCCTTTGCCGGATCACCTCGATGCCTCCCAATGCCGCGATGACTTCATCAGTACAATCATCGAGGATCACGAACGCCGGGTGAGCTCGTTAAGAGCCACATTGTCAGTGCGGGGCAAATCCGTGTTCGATAATGCTGCGGAGACCGAGGATCGGGAGCGCGAAAGGGAAAGGGAAAAGGAAAGGGGGGCAGAGGCTATGATGGTGCGGCAGATGGCCAGGTTGCGGAAGAGAGAGAGCGGCAGGAAGACCGTTCAGGAGGCCATGGAGAGCATTAAATTGCGATCAACCATGATGACGGAGTTGAATATCAAATGCCAGAAGTCGGCCATTGAGTTCCTATCGGTTCGCCTGCTGAAGCAACTGCGCCTCTTTTCGAGCCCTTGGCCCGGACAGATCGACGACATCCCCTACAATCTGTTCAAGTGGTCGTTGGATCACTTCCTGGCACGACTGGAGCATAGCCAATTGTACCTGGACGTGATCCACCGGGAACGGAGCTCCGAGGATCTCGATTGCGTAAAGTTCCGAACTGATCTGAGTGAAATCGAACACATTCTACACGAAATGCGGGAGGACTTTCAAAATGACTCTGACCTCTGTGAAAACAGCTTACTACTTATAGGGTATTTGGTTCAACCATTTGGTTCGATTCACAAAAAGTAATATCCTACGTTGAGTATCCAATGTTCTTAGAGATTGCAGGTACAACACGGTTGGTGCGTGGATAAAGGGCCTCAAGGACAACTGCCGCATCAAGGATGGAATAAGCAACAGTAGCCTGACAGAGGAACCTAGCTTATCAAGCCTGGATATGCGTAAAACTGCACTTGTAGACCGCTTCGAAGACATTAGCTGTGAGTGAAATGGCAGTGATTCTAAATCAAACCTTTCAGAATATACAAAAATGTAATCTATCTTTTGTATAATTTCTTAGCTACTGATCCCATACAGGTGCGTTACCAGATCAAGTGGGTAAACAGCTGCATGGATCAGCGACTAATGCTTATCAGCAGCCGCGAGGAGCTGCTGAGAAAGGAGTTGAAGGAACTGGAAACCAAGTTGCAACAGGACATGACGGTGCAGCGCAGCTCGGAGGTGATATACTTCTGGGACGTGGAAAAGCTTAAGGTACACACCAGGGAGTGGGAGGCCAAGCTGGAGAGCGATCTGGAAAACGCCGAGGTGCAGTGCACGATAGCCAGGCTGGCGCTGCAGAAGGTCAGGGACGACCACAAGTTCTACTTGGAACAGGAGGAAATGTACCTTAGAAAAATAGCCGAGTTCAAGACGCTGATGGCAGCGCGGGAGAACGTTGATCAGCGAAAACAGGTACTCTAAATTGGTTTAAAGTGGGAGGGTTCTTTACTAAATTAGCAGATCTTATTGATGGTACAAAGACATTAAATATCAAACTATCTAATGGAAAATAAATAAAAATTGTTTCAGACAAAATAAGCAGCCGAAGTGGAGCAGCAGCTTAGGCAATCGAGGCGGTGTATAAGCCCAAGGAAACCAAAAAGAAGTCGGCGAAATCCTGAAGCTCATCAAAATTCGACAACTATTATTTATGTTGGCAACCCAAACAAAATAATCAAAATCCCGAAATGCATGAACTTAACCCCAAAGGGTTGTTGCCTTCAAAGTCACTGTCAAAGGATCAGGCGCTCCAACCGGGGTACTCAACGGTTGGAGGCAGTGGGTGCCAAGTTAGGGCAAACATTTACCATATTCATTATTTTTTGGCGGAGACAAATGAAATTACTGGCAAACGACTACGGGGTAGCTTCCCCTTTATGGCGATTGCAGTTTAGAAAATCGAATTATGTGCACTTAGTCACCGTAGTTACCCACCAGGAACCCCCATCGGGAAACTAGTGTGGTATGGCCTCATGCATAGTTATTTTATGCGCCGTGGCAACCTGAAAGTTGCCGCATAACTTTGCCTCTGGTTGTTGCCTGGTCGGGTGTATTATTTACGCTTAGAAAACAGAGAGTAGAATTTTTCCAACGCCAGTCGCAGGCGGATCGCGTTCACCCGGATAAATCCCTTGGAATGCCAACTAACCCGCGACCCACGACCAATGGCAATACTCCCGAGGACTGGCAGGTGTTTGAGGTCTTATTCGGTGCTGATCAGGACCCGAAAGCCGTTCCCTCACGGATGACCACAATGTCACCTTTCCCACCGCCATCCATTCCGTCTTGCCAGGTGAGTAGTTCTGTGTCGCCGAGGTACTCTCTCAAAAATCAGTCTTGCCAAAATCGTGCGCCAAATTGCCATAAAAGCGTGTAGACATCATATCAGGATAGATTTATGTGAATTCGCAATTGAATAACGACTTTTGTTAGCTGCTTTTTATGTTTCAAACGTATGCGGTTGTTAGGGGAACTAATGATGTTTGTGGGGGATTTGCATAAAACTCGATGGGTCTAGAGGGGCACAGTGGTAAGCATGGCTAAGGGCAATGTGAGGGGTGCATAATCGAAACATATAACTGATTGTAAAGCTTAAATGTACACATTTTTGGATAAGATGCAAAATGGAATGCAAACACCCAATATAGATTCAAGGATCAAACACCATACACAATTTAAAGATGAAATGTAAAACTCTTTTGACAGCCTACACTAATAGGTACAATTATTTTGATTGTGCTCATAAGTTTTTATTGGCTTTGTAGAACTAATTCATTGTATTTTTCTTATCAACATGTCGGTTAAAAGATTTTTAAAATAATTCAACAAAATTTATTCCATGAAGAATTGAACAAATATAAACTAAAATAAATACCACTGGCATAAATAACTTGGCATAAGTTGTTTGTGATATAGGCTTGATTATATAATTTGAATATCTTATGATAGACCTTTATAAACAGATGTAAAATTAAATGAAATATTTTCTTATAAATCTGAACTGTTTGAAGCACTCTGCTTCTTGAAAAGCCAACCTGAATTAGCTTCATAATTAGCCTGGCCAGCTTATCAAGCGCTCAACACATTTTCAGTTCCCAATTGTCTTGCCGCTCCCCCTTCGTAGATTGCAGACAATTGGCCAAAAGTTGCACACCTCATTTTCCGTTTCCGGCCAAGTTGAAAATTTCCATCGCATATCCACCTAGCCCAGGAGCTGCCAGGAACCCCACTCCTGTGGCGTCCGCACTCGCGTGCGTGAGTCCTTTGTGGATATTGCATTTGATACTTCGCCACTTGGCGCCATGTGAATGACCCAAATAATCCAAACAAACTGCAAAGTTCCCTTAATGTGTAGAAGTAATCGTGCCTGGGAAGGTGTGGCTCCACACGGCTGCTCCTCCTCCAAATCCCTTGCTCCTGCCATTGGGCTCGTTTTCACTTGGAGCATAAATTTAAGCATTGTGTGATGTTATGTTGAGGTAAATTCCGCGGTGCCATGCATCGGACTCCCCTCAGTTGTTAGGTGGAGGTTGTTAGGCTTCCCGAAAGTAGTTTTTCCCGAACCAAAGTTCAGTTCTTCGACAGCTTTTACTGGGAACAGTTGACTTGGTTCTTGGCGTGCTTGCAATCGGAAGTTCGTGGCTCTAAACATGCCCAGTGAAAATCATCTGCATCACCATCACTTGGGACACAGTGGCGGATTGTCTCCGCATCATCATCACTTGGTGGGCATTGGACTATGTTAATGTCATAAAAGTTTATTACAATTTACAATAAAAAGTACAATTAAAATTTAAAACAAAATGGTACCAAAACCATATAATTTAAATTTGAACAAATATAACTTTAATAACAAGAAAATGTGTAAAGTGATGCATTTATTTAAGAGAGCCAATATGTAGAAATTTGGTACTTGAGTATTTGAAAAGGTTTTCTATTTTTAATGCGCTTTTCCAGCTGGACACATCCTGCGGCAACACGGGAATCACTGTCACAGAACATCATCATGGACTGGACTTGACCACCACCCTGCGCAGTGAACTGGCTGCGTTGTCCTACAAAAAGGAGCGACTTACGGGGGAGGTAAAGAGTTTATTACCAAATAACCAATTAATATAAAGGCCATATTTACCCTATTTATTTATGCTAGCTTTCTGAAGCGCGAACCGCCTTGTGCAGCAAAGAGGCGGATGTCGAAAATCTGCGGGCCCAGGCTGCTCGGCAGACTGCCCTCATCGGATCCCTCCAGAGTCGGCTGCAAAACTCGGAGAGCAGGGAGCAAGCCGTCCAGGCCAGATGCGACTCCACCATTCAGACGGTGCAGCGGGAAAAGCGGAGTTCCGACGAGCGCAACAAGGAGCTGATCTGCAAGATACAGCATCTGGAATCGCATGTGGCCAGCGAGGAAGCGCAGAAGGAACAGGTCAAGGCTCAGATGCACGATCTCCTGCGACGCCTTAGCATCAGTTTGGGAATGGATGTGTGCGATGGCAACCAGAATGCCCATGCCACACCCGAGTGCATCGTCTCGCGGGCCGAGGAGGTGATGGTGGAGCTGCAAAGGACGAAAGCCAAGGTCAGTTCCACCTGCGACACCCTCAGCTCCTGCGAAAATGAACTGCTCAACTTGAAATCACTGGCCAACATCGAGAAGCAGCGCCTCACGGCCCAACTCGATGGAGCTGGGAATCACAACCACGAGCTGGAAGGACGCTGTCGCCAATACGAAAGGGATCTTCAGATCCAAAGGGATCGCCTAACTGAGTCGGAAATCAACGGGGAGAAGCTGAAGGAAGAGTTGCGCGGCTTTGAGTCGCGATGCCATCGCTTGCAGAACAACCTTGACCGGACTCAGGGCGATCGTCTGCAGTTCTTGCGGGGATTGAGCAATCTCTTGAATGTACCCGAGCCCTGCGAGACGCTCATCAAGGACAAGCTCAGGGAGACTCTGGCGGAGAACCAGGCCATGCATGCGGTAATAGAACCTTTTAAGACATCATTTACCAGGCAATAATCCAATTTGTATACCCCTAGCAAATGCACTCTCTGCGAGATCAGCTAAGCTCGGAGCATGAGAAGCTAAAGGAGACCCAACAGACCACCGAGTGTCGCCTCCGTTCTGGCGAGGCACAGAAATGTGAGCTAACTGAGCGCTTGGAGAAGTGTCACGCCGAGATCCATACTCTTCGAAAGGATCACATGGGTCTATCGGAGTTCTTGCAGCGACTGGCCCTGGCGATGAACTGGGGGGAGTGCTCCGCACCTCCGGCTCTTGGCAATGATACCAATCTGATGGCGGAGAATTTGCTTGAGAGAGCCGAGAGACTCGCCGCTCACTGTGACCACGAGGCATCCCATCATCATCACCACCATCACAGCCCGGATAAGGGTTGCTGTGATCACGGACATGGGAAACTTCGCCGCGAGAGATCCTGTCATGACATTCCCCTGAAGGAAAGCAGCAGTGTGTACAACCTGCAGCGACGAGTTCGAGTTCTCAGGGAGCAAGTGCAGCGGCGGGATCTCCACCTGGAGCTACTGCGTCGCAAGCTGGCCATCGTGGAGGACGGTGCGCGAGGGAAGTGCATGTTGCAGGGTGAGCGGGATGAGGCCATTTGCCGGGCCAAAAAGGCGGCCAAGCAGGTGGACAAGTTGAGTGCCCAGCTGGCCGATGCCCGATCTCAGATAGCAGAGGTGAAGGCCCAGCTGGCTGAGGCCGTGGAGTACAAGATCACCTCGTTGGAAAGGGCCCGAAAGATCGACGAGCTGACCACACAGATATGCGATCTGGAGGACGAGAAGACGCGGCTGCTGTCCCAACTTAATGCCCTGAAGGAGCGCCTCAAATCCTCCTGTGAATCCAATCAGAATCGCAGATGCCGCGATGAGGCGTTAATAAATGTAAGTAAAACAATAATTTATGTGGAAAATCTTTAACAAAATCTTTCTCCGAATTTCAGTCTATGCGCGATGATGTCAGCCGCCTGAGCTCCCAACTTTCGGATGCCAACCAGCGCCTGTCCCATTTGCAATCCTTCCGCACTTCGGTTGCCAGGACTCTGCATCTTCGCGATCTGCCGGAAACGGATCTCCTGCATCGTCTGCAGGCCTTGTGCTCCGCCCATCAGGAGTTCACGCTGCTCTCGAAACGCTACGAGACAGCTTCGCCAGTCGGAGATCATCCGTGTCCTCGCTTCGATGATCCCATACCACCATCCAGCCACTGTCGGCCGCCTAGGGAGCTCAGTCCTCCTCCAACTTCCTTCCACCACAAGGCGACACTCCTCTCCGGAAGCAACCATCACCCAACGCCGTCCGAGCATCTCCATGGTTCCAGCAGCCACCTGCACAATCACCTCGGACATGGACATGGACATGGTCACTCCTCGCATGCCAGGCGGCAGCGAAGTAAAAGCCGGGACAAACGACTCCACGACGAGTGCTTCGACTCAGATGTGCATCGACTGCACCATGGCTGTAAGGAGGAGCTGCTGGCCACCGGATCCGACGATGACTATGACTTCAAGAGCAAATACTGCTAGAGTAGTACACTTCTTCTTTGCGTTTGTA